AGGGGGGAGGGGGAATGAAAATAAATGACAACCCACAGAAAATATCTGCAAATTATATATGTGATAAAGGGCTGGTATAGAGAGTAATAAACTGGCATCACCCAAGGGAAACTGGACAGGAGTCTGAACAAACATTTCTCCAAAGAAGGTACAAGATAACAATATGCACATAGATGTTCCTCATCGCTAGTCATTCAGGAAACACAAGTCAAATCCAGGAGACCCTGCTTTATACACACCAGGCTGGCTATATCCCAATAATGGACAACAGCAAGTACTGTAAAGGGAGTGGAGAAACCTGCACCCTCGCACATTGCTGGAGGGGAACATAAAATGGTGTTCCCATCATTGGAAAACGTTAGGCTGTGTTTACAGGCCAAACATACCATATGATTTAGCAATTTCACTCCTAAGTCTCTCTGAATCCAAGAAAAGTAAAAACAAACATACACATAAAAACTTGTATATGACTGTTCATAGCAGCATTATTCCTAAGAGCCATAAAAGGAAACAATCAAAAGATCCATCAGATGGTGAATGAATACAGAAAATGTGACACATCTATGAAAAGAAAATTTCACCAATGAAAAGAAATGAAGTGCTAGAAAATATTACAATATAAGTTATAAGAATAACTTTGAAAACAAGCTGCTGAATGAAAGAATGCAGACACAAAAGGCCACATGTTACATGATTCTGTGTATACAAGATATCCAGTTGGGCAACCCATAAAGACAGAAAAATGAGTGGGAACCTAGGACTGGGTTAGGAGGAAATGTGAAGTGACAGATAATGGATATGGAGGCTAGTGACTGGTTAAGTCCTCTAACTGTATCAACTAGCAACTCTAGTAGAATGCTAAATAGTAGTGGAGTGTTCTTACTTTGTTTTTGACCATAGTAAAAATGACACTAGTATGTTCTTAGTAAGATGCTAGATTTAGGTATCTGTAAAATACATAGATTTGATCATGTTAGAAAAAATATACCAATTCCTATGTTTTTCAATACTTTATATTATATTTTTCCTTGGGCTTGTTTAGGACCTATGGAGATAACCATGTATTTCTTCTTAGATTTATTAATATAGTACTTTATGTTAGTGGATGTTTTAATATTAAACCAACCTTGCATTTCTGAGATAAAGCCCACTTAGTCATGGCTTATGATTTCCTAAATGAGGTACTGTAATTTATTTCCTAATATATAACTCTACTTTTATAAAATATACATTTAAAAGAAAATATGATCATGTTTTGAGCTTTTCACTACAAAACTGCTCTGGTAAACATCCACAGCATAGCTCTAGAGAGAGGACTCTATTTACACATACATGGCATTCCTTTATGTCACTTCTTAGTGCTTCATTACCTCCACTCAAGCTGCCTCTGATGTTCAGTCTGAAGCTTGGAAGAAGGTAGGCCACCCTACTACAGAATGGAGTTTCAAGTGACTGTTTTAATTTGTGTTTTTTGTATTTTTCATTGTCTTTAATGGATGTAAAATATGCAGTAAGAGCAAAAGATAAATGATTTTTTTTTTTGGTCTTTTTGAGACAGGGTCTCCCTGTAGCCCCAGCTGTCCTGGAACTCACTATGTAGACCAGGCTGGCCTTGAACTCACAGAGATCCACCTGCCTCTGCCTCCTGAGTGCTGGGATTAAAGACATGCGCCACCACGCCCGGCACTAAATGATATTTTTAAAGGTCCCAAAGATACTTTAAATATGCATTCTTCTCAAACAAGAAAGCTCATGCCATGCCTAGTGTTCTAGCAAAGAGGAAGCTCAAAAGCAAGATTATATAATTGGGTCCCAGTCAACTATAATGATAACTACTCATTAGAAAACTGCTCACGGGGATGGTGTTTACTGAACAGCCATCTCTATTCAGAGACAGCATGATAGAATGTAAAATAGACCCTTTCACTGGCCAAGCATATATTTTCTAGATTATGCTCTCCTGAGTTTTAAGAAAGAATGCTGGACCAGGCCCAAGGGAAGCAATAAAAGTGCTGTCATAACGAGCCATACCTTGAAGACCAACCTATCTATATTAGAATCATAAGCTATTATTTATGAACTGTGACAACAGGCAGGTCACATGGCTCCTCTGCACTTCAGCGTCTTCATAATGACCTACACTGCACAGTGGTCAAGAAGAGCAAATGGATTCATAAAGTAAACTAGTTAAATGCTACAAAAGTCATCTGACCAACTTAAATTCTGGGTCTACTAGTTTTCACCTTAAAATAATAAGGTTCCTGGTTTGGGGGTGTGGTACCATAGTAGAATGTTTACCTAGTATGTACATGTTATGCATGAGGCACTAGGCTCTACCCCCCAGCTCTGCAAAACAACAATACAGCAATAATACTATAGTTTCTTCCTCTACATTCTTTTTACTGCACTCATGGAAAACAAATGATCCAAGGTCAAAGCATTTCAAAGAGCATGTTGTGTCAAAAAGGGCCTAGGAATATTTCATGCTACAGGATTGTAAAGATAGCTTGCTGGTGAAGAGCACATACTGCCATTGCAGAGGACCTGAGTTCAATTCCCAGCACCCATGTCAGGCAACTCACACCTGCATGTAACTCCCCACTGGCACTCATGTGCACATGCCCATACACAGACCTACACATATGTACATACTTTAAAAAATAAGAATAATCTTTTAAAAAACATTTCATGCTACCAAAATTCTATCCTTTTTAGAAAAGTCTTAGAAGAACTAACTTGAATATTCATATTGTTGCCCTATATATTTACCATCTGAAATTTTTTGTTTGTTTTTTAAGGCAAGGACTCCCTGTGGCCCCAGCTGACCTGGAACTCACTATGTAAACCAGGCTGGCCTTGATCTCACAGAGATCTGCCTACCTCTGCCTCCCAAGAGCTGAAATTAAACGTATCTGTATCTGGCACCAGGCCCAACTCCATCTGGAATATTTTAAAGTTCTAATTCAAAGTGTTTTTTTCATATGTAGTCAAAGACCATCTCAATTTGATTGCTGGCCTCTTAGTTTCTCTCAACTGTAAACACAAAAGACAGTAAAGAACAAAACACAGACCTTAAAACCTTAAGTGGAGCTGGGTATGCCAGAGAGAGCTGTAATCCCAGCTACTTGGGAGGCTGAGGGAGAACTGTGAGTTCTAAGTCAGTCTGGGCTACATAAAGAGTCCCTGTCTAAAAAAAATGAAGGGATAGGCCAGGCGTGGTGGCACACACCTTTAATCCCAGCACTTGGGAGGCAGAGGCAGGTGGATCTTTGTGAGTTCCAGGCCAACTTGGTCTACATAGTGAATTCCAGGCCAGCTGGGGCTACAGGGAGACCCTGTCTCAAAAAGACAAAAAAAAAAATGAAGGGCAGGCTGGAGAGATGGCTCAGTAGTTAAGAGCTCCAGCTGCTCTTGCAGAGGACCCAGATTCAAGTCCCAGCACCCACATGGCAGCCAACAACCTGTAACTCCAGTTCCAGGG